TACACGTGTTTCTAGTGGGACTATGTTTACAAGCACAAGAGTTCAGCGAGCCACCGAAGGACCGCCCTGCAGATTTACTATTGGTTCTGCAACGTAGGGAGTTTTTTTAAACTCTGAAATTGTATCCGCCCATCTAAACACAAAATCAGGGAGAAAGTCATCAGTCTTTAGTTAAGCAAAGCGTCTAAAGACTGACTTGTGAGTCTACTAAGAGTTATGCTGTATATAATTTGTTTTAAAAATAAGGCTCTCTTTGTTCTCAGCTGAGATCCGGCATTTCACCTTTGAAAACTAGAGGATGTTCCTAACGACTAATTTCCCCAATGTTGAAACAGAAGTTCAAACTTCAAGACTAGTCTTAAAGTAAGAAAACACTCAGAATTGAGCACAATTTAATTTAGAAGGTAAACAAAAATTCCATCCATCCATCCATCCATCCATCCATCTATTTTTAACCGCTTATCCAATGCCAGGTCACAGTGGTAGCAGGCCAAGCAAAGCATTCCAGACACCCCTCCCCCCAGCAACTCTTTCCAGCTCCTCCTGGGGGACCCCAAAGCATTCCCGAACCAGACGAGATAAGTAAGTAATAAGTAATCCGTTCAGCGTGTTGGGTCTGTCCCTGGGCCTCTTACCAATGGGATGTGCCTGGAACACATCCAACGGGATGCACCCAGGAGGATCCTTATCAGATGCTGGTACCACCTCAAATGACCCCTTTCAACGCAAAGGAGCAGCGGGTCTACTCCAAGCTCCCTCCAGATGTCCAAGCTCTTTACCCTATCTCTAAGGCTAAGCCCAGCCACCCTTCAGAGGAAACTCATTTCGGCCATTTGTATCTGCGATCTCATTCTTTAGGTCATGGTTCATGACCATAGGTGAGGGTTGGGACGTAGATGGACCAGTAAATCGAAAGCTTTGCCTTCCAGCTCAGTTCCCTCTTCATCAAGACAGTCCCAAACAGCGCCCACATCACTGCAGATGCCACACCAAACCACAGATCCATCTCACGCTAAATTCTAGCCTAACTCGTGAACAAGACCCGAGGGCAGTAACTCTCTCCCAACCCAGAGGGGGCAATCCACCGCATCCATGGGCAAACTCCTACAACCCCTTCAGCAGCTCCACAGCAGGGCTGCTGCTGGAAATATAATTTGGCTGAAAAAAAACAAAACATGGTGAATATTATAAGAGCTGTTTGAAATAAATAATCACATTTTTCATCAAGCAAATAGTATTCTAAATGCCGCTAAATGTGCGGCACTCTGCCTCCTTTCATATTTAATAGAGGGGGGACAATACCTGAAAGTAATATTCTCAGCTGTCAGGATGTGCCTGCTGTAAAGGGTAAATATAATCATAGAAGGCTGAAAATCACAGGACATGTCTGTTCTGTTTATACTAGTCAGCAGTGTAAAGCTCAAGCATGTGGGGGCCTCCTTTCATATTTAATAGAGGGGGGGACCGTATCTAAAAGTACAGCTGTCAAGATACAGGCCTTTGCCACCTTGGTCTCGAAAAAACCAAAGGAAAACCCTGCCCCAACTGTACTCAGTTCAATCGGCAAACATCCAACACAATCTTCCTCCTATCAGTCAATCTCCTTATTAAATGTTGATGTCAAAATTCTTGCAAAAGTTTTGGCCAGTAGATTGGACAATGATTTACCAACAGTCATCAGAATATGAAACAGGGTTTATCAAAAACCGTCACTCCTACTTTAATACTCGTCCTTTATTTGATATTTTGTACTCCCCCTCTGGCACAGTCCTGAATGCATTTTCTCTTTGGACGCGAAGAAAGCTTTTGACCATGTGGAATGGATGTACCTGTTTGCAATTGTATAAAAATTAAACTTTGGACCAAATTTCATCTTGTGGATTACATTATTGTATTCCTGCCCCACTGCCTCAGTCCTTACTAACTCTCAACAGTCACAACCTTTTAACCTCCAACGTGGTACTCGCCAAGGGTGCCTCTTAAGCCAATTACTTTTTGACTTGGCCATAGAGCCGCTGGCGACTACATTCCATAGCTGTCAAGAGATTTCAGGGATTTGGAGGGAGTTGAACACAAATGGGCCTTATATGCTGACAATCTCTTATTTTTCTTATCAAGCCCCATATTTCCCTACCCCATGTGCTATCACTACTTACTAATTTTAGCCAGTAAATGAGGCAGTGCTTAAATCAGAGTATACAAGTCTCTCTTTTAAGATTATGAGAGACCAATTTACCTACCTTGGTACTGACGTCACAAGAAAACACAAGGGTCTTTTAGGGAAAATTCTCTCACTCTGTAAAACAAGGTGAAACACTACCTGACACAGAGGTCTCCTCTATCCACTTCCCTAGTGTGCCGAAAAAAAATTCTATTAAGATGAATATTCTCCCCAAATTTTTATATCTTTTTCAATCTGTACCAATTTTTATACCTAAATAGTTCGTAGAGTCATTAGACTCAGTTATTCCATCATATACAGTACAGGCCAAAAGTTTGGACACACCTTCTCATTCAATGCGTTTTCTTTATTTTCATGACTATTTACATTGTAGATTCTCACTGAAGGCATCAAAACTATGAATGAACACATGTGGAGTTATGTACTTAACAAAAAAA